CTATTGAACATCTAGTGTATTTCAGGTACTTCCCTGGGCGCTGGGGCAGGGGGCATATATCCATAGATAAGGCACGCTGATCCGTTCACTCACTCATGCTTTCATTCGTTCATACAACGAGCATTTATTTTTGTGCCAAGCACTATGCAAAAAGCTGTGAGAGATATGAAGGTGAATTAGACACAGGTTTTGTTCTTAGGCAATGTCTTGAAGGAGTTCCTGACAACTCTCTTTGAAAGAGGACCCCTCCTTTTATTCTCCATCCCCTTCCTCTACTTTTAGAAGTGCTTACCACCTGACCTTACTGTGTATTAATTGTTTGGTGTCTGTCTCTTTATCAGAATGTAAACTCCATGAAAGCTGGGGCTTTGGGTTGATCGCTGCTATATTCCAGTACCTAGAATAGTGCCTGACAAACACTCAACAATCTTTAAACAATAAAATATCCATATAAGAAGCTAGAAGTTATGTGTCATAAAACATGTTTAGATCAAGTGCTGTGAGAGTTTAGTGGAAAGAGATCACTTCTAACTTAGGATAATGGTTTTTAAATCTGGTTGCATATTAGAAACACCTGGGAAACTTGAAAAAATCAATTGCCTAATGTCCAAGTCCATACTGTTCAAATCAGAATCTCTGGGTGATGAGTGGGCGTCAGTATTTTAAAAGAGCTCCCCAGGTAATGATAATGGGTAGTTAATGTGAACCAGAATAATCAGGGAAGTCTTCATGGAAGAGGTGGGATTTGAGCTGGCTTCAAAATCAGGTAGCATCTGGCTAAGAAGGAAGCCTTCCAGATGAAGCACACAGCATAAACAAAGTACAGAGGCAGGAATCACAGGCTGAGCTCAGGGATAAGAGGTAGTTCATTTCGTCTAGAGCCATTAAAGCAAAGTTCTAAAGGTTGACTGGGGCCAGTCTGAGAAGGTGTTTGGATGCTAGGCTAGGGGATTTGGGCTTCATTTGGTTTTGCAATCAGTGAGAATTGTGAATGATTTTTAAACAGAAGCGATGTTATCAGAGCTCTCCCTGGCTGCTCTGGAGGGTGGCTTGGAAGCAGCCAGGGAGACCAGTTTAGGAGGCCATGTAGCATGGGCTCAGCTTTGGACTGCATCCTTGTCATTGGAGGGGAGGGCTGAGGTGGAACCGGGCTTCGAGGCCTGCGCATCCTCCAGCCCTGGTTCTGCTTGGAGAGCTTTTGGTGGAGTCACTGACATTGCAGGGATTGGTGCCTTTGGATCAAGCCAGGGCATCAGGCCGCACGGGCATCCCTAGCCCAATTTGTTCCTATGCATGACTGATGAACCAGTAGTACAGCCAGGCCTCTTTCCTGAAATGAGAGGCCATTTCATCCAGAGAAGCATTTCTACAGGTGAAATTCGGTACCATGCCAACCTACCTTTGAGACAGAGGTTTCTGTTGTCTTAATGTAGCAATGTGTGTCTTTGCTTCATCTCTAGCTAATTCCAGCACTGTAGACACTATGGGGTAGGGCTGGTAGGGGTCAGCTCTACCACAATCTGGAGCTGCTAATTTCTTAATTTCTGGGTGTACTGAGGACATCCTGCCTGAACTCAGCATGCTAGACAACTTTGAACAAGGGCTGGGGGCCATGGGCCATGGGCCAGAGGGTGTATTTCCAGTAGCCTCATAGAAGAATGCTCTTCTACAAAGAGCTGAACCTTTGTGGGGCACAGGACATCTGCAGAGACAACGGCACCATATGTGTGTGGGGCTGGGGGAAAGCGGGCTTGGTGGAGGGAGGATGGTGATTGGGTCCAGTTTGCTGACACAGGCTCATGCAGAGGACTGCCTGCCCTTGGCCAGATGCTGCTGGTAGCTAGTGCATCCCCAGGGTCATATACTACCCAAAAGGACAGGTCAGCAAGAGTTGCTAGGGTAGATACTTTTCCTTCCCTCTGTCTGTTTTGCCAGGACTGACCTTTTTCACAGTTTCAGAATGTCAGTCCGCCAGACATGCACAGACTTGAACAGTTTGCAAGGGGCTTTCACACTCTGTCTCATTGGAATCTCACAAAAATCTTGTGAACTAATTAGGACAGGAGTTGTTGATCCATTTTACTGATGAGAAAACTGGGGCTAGGGTGGGGTTAGGTAGCTTATTCTAAAGTCAAATATAAAGCACAAGGGCTGGGACTTGTTCATGCAGGAGCCAAGAGGTGACTTGTCAGGGCTGTTTAGGTGGATTTTATGCACGTTGGAGTAGAGTAACAGTTTAGCTTCTTCGTTAACTAGGTGGTGACTTTGGCAAGTCCTTTCTTGTGTGTCTCACTTTTTCAGCTATAAAATGAGAATAGTTATACTTACTTAATAGGATTATTTGAGAGTTAAATGATCATTTATTAAGGAAAGTGTCCAGGACGATGCCTAGCATAAATTAGATGTTCAGTTAGTTCCTTTAAAAAAAAAAAAACTTTTTTCTTGAAATAATTACAGACTTACAGGAAGTTATAAAAATAGTACAGGGAATCTTGGGTATCCTCACCCAGCTTCCTCCTGTGGTAGAATCTTAAGTAGGTATAGTACAGTATCAAAACTAGGAAATCAAGGTGCCTGGGTGGCTCAGTCGGTTGAGCGGCCGACTCTTGATTTCAGCTCGGGTCATAATCTCAGGGCTGTGAGATCAAGCCCTGTGTCAGGTTCTATGCTCAGCTCCAAGTCGCTTGAGATTCTTTCTCTCCCTCTGCCCCACCCTCTGCTTGTATGTGCATGCAAGCGTGCACGTGCACGCTCTCTCTCTCAATAAATAAATATCTTTAAAAAACTAGGAAATTGACATGGGTACAATACCTGTTGTTAACTATACTACACACTTTATTCAGATTCCGTTTATCTTTTCAGATAAAAATTATATTACTTGTGAGTTTTTCTTTTCTAGCTCCAAAATGCTATATACAGTGTCTTCCTTGTCCTTGACTTTTCTGTGGCATCTGACTTTCTAGAAACTTTCTCCTCCTGCTCTTCCCCTCCGGGGTTTTTCCTTAGGCAGAATCTTGCTTCCATCTTTCCTCAAGGATTCTGAAGTCAGGATTCCCACCTCAAAGCGCCAAGCCTCTCTCCCATTCCCTGTTTTCTGCCTGTTTGCGAATGTAAGCTCTAATTCATCATATCCAAAATAAAACTTGTCATTATTTAAACCCTAAACCAATGCCTTCCTGCCTCTCTGCTGGACTTCTCGTTGTTTCTGTTGATGAGTTACCATTACAACTGCCCAGAGCTGTATGAGGAAACTTTTGGGTGATGGATACGCTCCCTGCCTTGATTGTAGTGAGGGTTTTTCTGGCTTTATACATATGTCAAAACTTATCAGATTGTACATATTAAATACGTATATATCAATTATAACTCAATAAAATGTTTTTCAAAGGTTTAAAAAAAAAAAGAGTGGCCCAGGGCCAGACAGCCTGGGTCTGAGTCCCGGCTCGGCCACTGGGACAAGTCACTCAGCGTCTTTGTGCCTCATTTTCCTCACCTGTAAAAGGAGGCTAATAACAGTAACTTACTATGTAGGAACTCGGGGAGGATTAAGTGAGTTACTTCAGATAAAGTGCTTGGAACCTTACCTGCCGCAGGTGAAGCCCTCCAAGTGTTTGTTGTTGTTGTGGGTTGCTCATCTCAGGCTCACGGCGCCTGGCACAGAGCAGGTGTGCAGTAAGTGTTTGCGAACGAATCCTGCCGTGACCTTGAAGCACTGTTTTTCTTCCCCAGCTTTCATCCAAATATTTCTGCTTTTTTAAGATCCAGCTCCATTTCTGCACTTTTTCTCCCCTCTCCCTGAGTCCACAAGGCCCTGCTGGCCTCCCTCCTCTCTCCATCTACCTCGGATGTCTTCTGAGGGCATGTGTCCTTCCTCATTGTTTTTTCTCTGTTTCCCCTTTGCCTATGCCAGGCAGTAGGTGCTTTATAAATGTGGAATGAATGAATGAATGATGGTATATGATTTGCAAGGTATTAGGAAGGCTTTGTGCAACGAGACAAATTCCCATCAGTTCATTATTAAAACAAACAAAAAACATAAAATTTATCCCTGAAGAGAAAATTTCCAAGTGTGCGCAGGTAGCAAGTGGTCCTACTTCTGACCCTCTGATCTCACCCTCCCTTTTGGGTCTTGGGGGAGCTGTAGACCTCCTTTAACACCCTGGTCCAAGCTTAGACACAGACCTTCCTCTGAGTGCCCTGAGAACAGCTGAGGCAGGCTGCTGGCACTTTTGTAAAGACTTGTCTGAACCACAGTGAGGGAGCCAAAGGAGACGCGGCAAAGGCGAGGAGAAGCTGAAGCGGACCGGCTCATTCAGGCCAAGACACTGCATCTCTTGGCCCAGGGCTTGGGTACAGTTCCCCTGACTCTGACCTGATCCTTTGTTTTCTAGCTGCAACCTCTTGCTTATGTGGAGGGTCCAATCTGAAAGCTAATTTGTTAGAAGCTCCTTCTTGGACACCTTGACATTTTTGCATCATAGGCCAGAGAACCTGGTTTCTGTTTTTCCAATTTGAGGGACACACTCAGGATGATCACTATGGGGGTGACACTCTTGACACTCCATTTCTTACAGGTGTAGTTCTGGCTTATCTTCTGTTCAAATCTAGTAATATAATGATACCTTAGCCGTTTCATCAGTAAGGCATCCATACTATGCCATTTACACAAAATAACACATTATTCTGTGTCATCCCTGCTGGGCCCTGATCTGGCTTACAAGTTGATCATTACTTTGCCATTCCTTTGGATTAAGCATTGCCTTTTCCAGCAGCATCTCCTTCTGGGAATGGTAACATATCAGGTCCCTCATATCTTGGAATATGTTCATTTATCAACATGCATTCGTCCCTTTCACAAGAAATCTAGAACAACTTATAAGCACTAGATGCCTTGGGACAGAAGAGGCACAGCTTCTGGTCAACCTCATAATAATAGGCTTCCGTTAGATTATTCTTTTCATTTACAAAGTATAGCATGCCTCATGTGTTTCTTTAAACAGTTCTGTGAAATCGGTGCCGTGTTCCAATTTTTACCAATGAAGAACCTAAGGTTCCTAGAGAAAAGGCTTGGCTTTTCCAAGGTCATGGAGCTGGTAAGTGCTGGAGCGCCTGGCTCCAAAGCCTGTTCTCGTTCCATTGTACCTCCTGGCCTCTCCTACCAGTATCTTCTCTTTGATCTGCCTAGGCTTGTTCTGGCTTTAACCCCAGGTTTTTTCTGTGATTCCAGGCTAAACTATTTATTACTTTCTCTGCTGCTTCTATACCTTTTTAGTCTTGGGAGAGTTCCATAGATTCCAGCAGGAAGTTTATTCCTCTCAGACCCTGAGATTCTTTTGTGACTTCCCATGCTGACTATGGAACTCCATCTATCTCCCCTAGCTAGAGCTCCCACTGGTCTCTGCCTTTATTTTTCCCACTGTCAAGTTTATCTTTGGTCTGGACCTTAGACCCTGCTTTGTCACTTGTCTTTTTTCTCTTGATCTGTCCCATAGTTCTTATGGTTCTTCCTGTGAGTCTTGCTACTTTGATAGACTAAGGCTCCCCCACCTATGAGGTAGGTTTACTTTCCCACATTTATTTATTTACTCATTCATTTATTCATCAGCTACTTTTGGAATGCCTGTATCAGGCACTGTATTTAGGTACGGGCTTGGGGGGGGAGGGGGAGGGGCATGTTTCCAAGATGTTAAAGCATGGTTGAGGAGACTAAAGAATCAGGAGCCCTTTACAATCCACTATGGTAATGGTTATGAAGGCATAAACAAAAGATGTTTGTGGGAACATAAGAGGGACACGTCACCCAGATTTGGGGGTGTCAGAGAGGTCTTCTTGGAAGAGATCATGTCTGAACTGAGTCCTAAGGGATAAGTTCAAGTGGACTTAGAGTGAGTGGTGGTGGTGGTGATCTGTAGGGAGGAGGGCAGAGTGCCAGGCAGAATGAACCATATGAAGCTGTATGTTTAGGGGCCTGCAAGCATTTTAGCCTGACTGGAACAGAAATTGTAGGGATGGTGAGGGTGAGGCAGGAGAAGTAATCTGGAACCAGACTGTGCAGGGCTCTTAGTTTGTTCTGAAGGTGATGAGGGGTCATGGGAACATCCCCAAGTAGAGGTGTGACTTGTTTAGAATAGTGTTTTAGAAAGATCACTATGATGCCAGGGTGAAGGATGGATTGGAGAGAGACAGAGATAAGAAGTGAGTCAAAAAAAAAAAAAAAGAGTCAGAAGTGATTGCGGCCTGCGTTGAGAACTTGAGCGAAGGTATGGCAGTGATAAAGGAGAGAAGTAAATGGTTGCAGAATATAAGGAAGGTAGGATTTCTAGGGCTGATGGCTGATCAACTTAACCCCTCCAGTTAAGAGGATGCATGCTGTTTTGCCTCACCCTTAGATTTGTCTACCTTGCCTTCTCCTACATGCAGTCCCTTTCTACTGTGAGAAGAGAAATCTGATGTTTGATTCCTGGTGTGGCTGTGTTTACCCATTTCTCTTCCCATACCCCATTCTCCCTGCAAGGTCCTTCTCTTTTTGGTTAACCTTCCCCTTATCGTTGCCTGATCAATGTCCAGGGCATTCTTTCAGTTTGCGTTTGGAAACCTGAGTGGCACCACAGGTCAACAAAGAGGTGTCACTGAAGTGCCCACCCAGGGAACCCTTGCTCCCCCTCTGCCTCGGTAGTGCCACCCTCTTTTCAGAGTGGTTCCTGGGGAGGACTGGGATAAAAGGTGACCGTATTTGCTGAGTGACCTCTAAAGGAGGAAGGAGGCAAGTATCTCTCTTGCATTTTTAGAACAGAAAATCTTTAAATACAGTGGGAAAGAACATGCAACCAGTTCCCATCAAGAGAAAAGGGAGCCTGGTGTAGGTAGATTGAAATGCTCCAGGTTGGAACTGTCCTCTCCATGGTCACGCTGACCAATTTAATCTTTTATGGAATAGAATAGAGCACTGGCATCGGAAGGGACCTTAGAGTTCATCCAGTTCATCCTCATTTTGCAGATGAGGACTTTGAAGTCTCTGGGGGTGGTATGGTTTGCCAATGTCACAATTAGCTAGTGGCAGAACTGGGACCAAATTGAGGCCCTCTAGTTCAGCTCTTGTTTCACTAGTCCCATGAAAGTACATTTTTTTTTTTTTTTTTTTGGTCATAAGTTTGACAGTTTGACAGTCTGGAGAATAAAGAACAGGCTGTTTTAATGACAGTATAGTTTGATAGTCCCCCTTTTCCCAGGAGAATGGAAGTAGCTTGTCCAAGGTCACAGCGTGAGTGAGGGGTAGAAGGGCCACCAGACTTGTAGCCTCCTGCTCTTGCCAGCATTGTCCAAGGTCTCACCCAGGACCCAAGACTTGGACAGCTGGGCTCCAGTGACGCTGAGCAGCATCATTCTTCAAATGCATCACCACCACAGCCAATTTCTTAAGTTCTGAAAGACACAATTTCTTTCCTTTTTCCTTTTCCCCTGAGTGTTTTTTTTTTCTTATTTGATAAAAGCGTATGGCTGTGGAAATTACGTCAGTTTAATTAGGCTGCTTGACACAGTACTTTTCCACTGAATTTACTAGGAACTGTGAATTTGTTGTAGCAAACTGCACTGCAGGCTGCAGTATCTGATTGGCATGCCAGGAGCATCACCAGCGAACAGCTCAATAGAGATTGGGGAGAAAACTGGGTCAGGAAACAGCCTCTTGTACCTGCAGCGGCTGCGGAAGGCCGCGCAGAGGCGGCAGGTGGCCACGGCATGGCACTGTCTCCCAGAGCCTGAGCCCCTGAGCGCCCCCCCCCGCCCCCGAGCCCTGCACTGCAGCCCCCCTGCCCCCCCCCGCCTTTGCAGGTGATTGTTCCTGTGGCCATTTTGCCTTCTATTTCTCTCCAGACCACAAAGCTTTTATACCTGCAAACCTCAGGAATGTCGTTTTTCTCAATTAAAAAGCCAAAGATTGGTTCAGATGGAATCTTTACCCATTGGTATTCCAAATCATGAAGCGAGTCTCTTGCCTCTCCAGAGCTGGGTTTTTCAGGGAGCTGGAACTGGGTTTGAGAGTTCTACACAGTGAAGAGGAAAGAGTTGCGTTTCCATTTGTTTCTCTCCAGTCCCCCTCCCCTCCATTGCCACCCAATTATATGGCATTAATCTCTGAAAGTCTCAGTGCTGAGCACCAAGACAAATCAGGAGCTCCTAGAGGGAGGAGTGAATGATTTGTCAGAAGGGTCAGGGGGAGCTTCTTAAAGGCAATGGCATTTGTCCTAGGCTTTGAGCAATGAATTGGATCAAGATAGGAATAAATGAGGGGAAGATGCTGGTGGCCTACCCACACTGGTCTCAGGACTGCCCTGTGGAGACTGGAGACCTCTCCGGTCATCTGGGGCTGGAATCTATTTCCTCACATTAGAGCTGACTGGGCCCTTAAGGACCTGTTCATCTAAGCTCCTTGTTTTATAGATGGGCAAATGAAGGGACGAAGAGGAAGAGACTGAAACGGAGGCCAGCCCAATGCTATTCTAACCACACTATGGCCAGTTATGTACTTGTCCTCATTTCAGAAGGGGCTCTCAGAACATCCACGTCCTCCTTCGAGATTCGACTCCTGTCATCTGCTTTCTGACTCCTCTCATGTGAGCTCAGAGATGCCCAATGGTCTCTACCTATCAATTACCATTAAGGAGAGAACCTGGGTCCTGCTGGCATCAGATTCCTAGGTCACTCAGATCCCTGCTAGACAGTCATACCCCTTCCTTCCTAGGCCAAGCCAGATGAGGCCAGAACTGGTTTTTCCTTGGGGCTGTTGCCTCCCCAAGAATATTTGGTAGGAACGGGTCTTGCCTCAGAGCGAGGGCTCAAATTCTCACAGACAGAAAAGCTGAGTGTAGCAGAAATCCAGGCCATTGTACTTTTATGTTATTTTGTGAGAAAATTGGGCTTATTTTGACTGAAAATTGTTTTCAATGAAGTATACTTAAATTTACTGAAATTTGCTTTAAAGACAACTTTTGTTAGACCATTTAAATTCTGTACAGCATCTCTTTCCTTTTTGAGGAGAAATCAGAGGGTGGGAATAAAACAGTCTCCCTAGTAATTTTCCCTGAATCTTTTGGATGGTCTCAATTCAGTATGAGGAATTCTGTCTTCAGACCAAGTACTGACGTTACAATTGAAATGCAGAAATGTATACCCATTTTCTGATAGACATATCAAAGTTTGCTAATCAAGTGAACCATTTGCACAGGATCTTTCAAAGCCAACTTCAGAGCCAACATGCTTTGGAAGACAGTTGACAATTCAAATGTCAAGTAGTCTGTGGCTTGAGCTAAGTGGAGTGAGCAGAAGAACATGCTCAGAAGACACAAGGCATTCTGGCTGTGAAATCAAGCTTTGATGGCCCTGGAAGTCAGATGGCCAGATCAGATCCAGACCTCTTCAAAGCAGAGGTTCCCTTTTATTTTATTTCACTTTATTTTACTTATTTTATTTTGGGTCAGAGCCTGTGGTTTTAAGTGCCTTTAAATAATTTCCCTGGTCTTGGAAGGTATATTCATTTGTAAATTAGTAGGCCTTGCATCTAGTTGGCATTTGCAGAAAGAAAGAAAGAAATGGGTGAGGGGAAGAGAGGGAAGGAAAGATGAAATGCTTCTTGATGCTTAGGCAGGTTTCTACTCAGAGGCTGGCACATTCATAGAAATTTCCATATATTCTCATTTTGGGGTCATACTAGGACTTGTCATCAGAGTGAGCATCATCTGAACATTTCATAGAAGTGGTTGGAATAGACAGAGAAAAGCTGGAGAATATAATTTGAAGTTTGTCAAATCTCCTCTCTTCCTTGCAGGGTTACATAAAGGGAGGCGAAAGGCAGGGCTGCAGGCACAGTGAATGCCCAGGCATCATGGAAGCGCTCTGGATAGTCTTTTCCTGAACTTGCGTACCCCTGCCCATAGCCTCCTTGGTCAAGGATGCTTAAGAGTGGTTCTTAGTCTTCAAGCATTCATGTTGGCTGTTGCCAAGGGCAGCTTGGAGAACCCAAGCTCCTTTCCCTGAGGACCACTCCCTTCCCTGCTCCACTGGGCCAGGCTCCCATTTCCAGCATTGGAAATGCTTT